GTATGAATCATCGTCATATTTCTTTTAGCACTTTCTTTACATTCCACATTGTTGTATCAAGAAGTTATCTCCAGTGCGAACGGGGTCAGTAAAATGGCAGGCTTACTTTAGTTGATAGCTTATTATCTCTGTATTAGCAATSATTAGTTCGAATAAAACACGCGCACACGCTGTCGTGTGGACATCCTCCTGAAGTCTGTGTGATATTAAATGGTAAATGATTTATATTCGGTTGAGCGGGGGAGCGAATTAGAATATAAGTGTCATAAGCGCTAATTCCTTTAGTTCCACAGGAAACCCGCAGAATCTATGTATACATTTCAATCAAAAGCCGGGCTCCCTGTGTATCATACGGACAAAAGTCCACATTGGTCGAAAAGAACAAGCTGTCAATCAAATGTCAAAGTGATAATAAAACCTGATGCTGATTTCCTGATGTTGATGTTTGCAAGTCATCTTAAAATCTGGTTCACATTCATCACTGAGGGAGAATAAAACACARTGGTCTGCAGCTTCTGCAGCTTTCTCCAGATGCACCTACAAAGACATACATTAAATAGGTGTAAAACGACAAAAATCATGCAAAGTCACTTATAATTGTATTGATGTACAATGCTGGCGTATTGTGATTTGTATGACAACGTTTACGATAAATTTAAAATGTATAATTGTGACATCTGAATACATTGTTGTGATGGAGTCGTCTAAAGGAAGTACCTTATAATCTCCCTTTAAGTAGAGTTTAGCTGCCTTCAGAGCTTCCATTGTCCTCTTCCCCAATCCCTCTCGGCACCAGAATCAACCAGTTTTGGGACTAATGCCAGTAGATCATTAAACGCTCCTGTACCATCAGCAGAAAAGTAGTCAAGGCCTTGAAGAGACCTTCTCACCGTAGCACTACATTCAGATAGTATTCGATGCATTGTGCTTTTGCTAAATGGACGAAAGTTTGTCTCTTCACARTAGCGAACATACTGTAGTACGATTCTGCTGGGTATCATACTTCGAATGATATAAGTAGCGGCGGTCTGCCTTTGTTAGCTCATCCGTACCAAGGAGTTTACTAATCATATTTGAGGATACCAGGGCTTGCCAGATATGTCCAGCATTTTCAGAGGACACAGTTTGGAGGACAGCAGCGACAATTTCTGCACTCCTCTTTGTATAACGTTGCTTGGTTACATCACTGATTTCATTCCAGTCTAACCATCGTCTTTGCAGGGGTGGGATGTTTGAAGAAATCAAAAAGCTGTTCAGATGCTGAAGTGGTTGAACTTGCACTTCATCACTGCACGATGATGCGCTACTCGCTGGTCCTGCTTTAGCTACCGAGGTTTTATTAGCAGCTAGGTGACGAGGTACAGAGCACCTAACTTTACGACATCGCTAACGAATCCCGTATTCAGCTCGATGCTTGGGGCATATTGTCATTGACTTGTGGGCAATGTCAGGCGAGAAAACACCTTGTAAAAGTCGGGATACATTAGTGTAAGTTCCAAGACATGCTAAAGGAAATGGAACGGTCGATATAAAATTAGTAAACAGCAGTGCTGACAGGGAGTAATTACCTGCACGAGCTAACAGGAGATTCATTTCATTGTTAAGGTATGTAGTTGAAAACAGTATTGACATCTTATGCTTAACTGAAACTTGGTTAAAAAGTAATTCACAACAAGTTATAAATGAAAACGTAGGTGGTGGCGTTGGCATTCTTTTTAAAAAAGCTTTAAAACTTGGGAAAATAAATTTTGATAACTTCAAGTGTTTTGAAGCTATGGGCATGAAAATATCATCTTCTCATATTTCACTTTTTGCTATTTACAGACCTCCCCCTTCTAAGCGTAATAAATTTTCTGATGCAATGTTTTTGGAAGAATTTTCATCTTTTCTTGAGCAATTTTCAGTAAGATCTGGCTCATTTCTTTTGATGGGTGATTTCAACTTTCATGTTGATGACTCTTCTAATCCTTCTGCAATTAAATTTTTGAACTTATTAGAGCTTTTCAATTTGACTCAACATGTTAAAGAGCCAACATATCAGGGCAAACATACGCTTGACCTTGTAATTACAAGGACTGGGGATGATGTCATTTGTAATATTTCCGTTTTCGATCCTTGTATTTCTTTTCATTCTGCTGTTTTTGGTGATCTCAAAATACAAAAACCTCCTTTTCAAAAGATTGTCACAAAATGCCGT